GTCAATGAACAAATGACAATCATTTTTCGTAGTGGATTATTTAATTCGAGCTCAAATACTTATGTTACCGGCCTAGGTAAATTTGATGATAATAAAACTGCGTACGATATATTTTCTAATTCAAAGTTTATTTACGAGTATGATAATAGAACAAAACTATACGAATATCCAACATTAATGAAACTAGAGAAATTCTGTTTGCATAACAATAAATCGTTAGTATGGTATGCACACTCTAAAGGTGCTTCACATGCCGAAGATTTTGTTGTGTCCTGGAGAGGTGTATTAAATTATTTTGTTTTGGATAACTGGCAATTATGCTATAATCTCTTATTGTCTACAAATTATACTACTTGTGGAGCTGTACTAGCCTTCGATCGAGTTCGTAAAGCTGGATGGAATACGTATTATGCTGGTAACATGTGGTGGGCTAAATGTTCACATGTTAATCGACTTACAAGACTTGAAGCGTTCGACCTGAAAGATCGTCACCTCGCAGAATTGTACGTCACATCTGAACCTGCTGTTGGGCATTTTAATTGTCATTTTATCAATCTAAATATCCTAATTAATTTTAATAAACAAACTGCTAATTGTACAATAAATCAACCAATGTTTTGGGCACGATGGTGAGATGTATTTTAGTTGATCGCCCGATATGTTTTTCAAATAAAACAATCAAACAATCAATCGATCCATCTCTTAAAGAAAAAGACATATCCTATTTATTATTGTTAATTTTTTCTTTTTAATGTTTGATTTTATTGATATTTTTTGATGCATAGTTATGTGATATGCTTAACTCTTTGACTTCCCTGGTATAAAAAAAGCGACACCTGTTTTTTTTATATTTCTCATAATGTAATTCATAAAAGTTGTTTTTTGTTATTTCATGAAAACACTATAGGTTTTGTAATTAATAAACTTCAACAGTTAAAATTTCCATTCAGTCCAATACAGTTCAATATAACTTACATTGCGCAAATCGACCAAGCACCTGTGAGAACACACGAAATATGTCTAACATATACTCTTATGGCTAGAAGAGGCTAATCCAACGATTTACTGGAATTCAATTCAATAAAAAATAATTCGGAAGTCAAAGGGTTAATAGAATAATATTTTAAGAAATTCAATATTTTTGTCTTATAGTTCGAGTAAAGAAGGTAGTTATTGTTTTTTAGTGTTACAGATATGTTTTAGGTTTATAATCATATAAAGGAAATTAGAAAAACCTCTATTAAGTCTCATTAATAAATGTAATTAAAAAAATGCGGAAAGTTCGGATTTAATCTGAGAGTTATGCGTACTACAAAATGTGTATAAGAAAGATGAATCATCTTGGCATATCTCGGTATCAGAATTATAATGGAAAATCTTCTCTATAAGGACGATTTCTTTCGGCTGTACCCATTTGATAGGATCTAGGCTAGAATACTGCTCAGATTTGAACTCTTCGCTTTGAGTTACTCTAAGAAAATGATTTTTTTCCGTAATTTGATTTTTATTGATTATTGTTTAACCAATGGGAATTCGAGGCAAATAGAGTACTCATTGAGTTCTCCGCCCCAGAAAACCTTCAAGTAGCATATCTGTAATCGAAAGATAGACCTGTAATTATGACCCAATGACGTCATCGATAGTTTGCCATATAGGTGATTTAGCCGTCTTGATTCATTATATATTACCTACCATGTTGTAGTAACAATGCTATATCGTTTTTCCCAAAGAGAAAAATATAGAAGAATCATAGGGAAATATCAGTATTTTTCCAATAGCTCGAGAATGGCTCGGTCAATTAGGCTCATCTTCGAACTCGACCGAGATCTTGTTGAGTTTAAACTGTGTGAAAAATTCCATGACAATCAGCTTAGTCTTTCAGGAATTATCGTGTAAACGACCGGACAGTCGGACACACTGATCGATTTCAGGAGTGTACTCACTTTTTGAGTACACAAAAATATTTAGTTTTTTACAAAATAGAAGAAAACAATTGATCGAGAAATAAAGAATAATATTTTAAAATAAATGAATTCAATTTATTTGTCTCCTTTGTTGATATACATCTCATTACGATCTTCAACAGAACAGCAGATTGTTTGGTATGATGAGAATTTTGAATATAGACATATCATTTATAATAGTCTTCTACAATGGGAAATCAAATGCATCTTCCTCGAAATTCAAAGGTTTACAATATTACTGAGACTACATCTTTCAATCAATTAAATTTGAAATATTTCATTTAATATAATTATGTTACTCCAAAAGTAAACGCTCTTCTACTACCAACTTCATTTCTCATATCGATTGTCATATCGTTT